TCAGGACATTTATCCAGGCTAAATGGAAATTGTGGTGCATGTATATCCAATGGAATGTTATTCGGTCTTAAAAAGGAAGGAGTCTTATTAAATGCTACAACATGGATAAACTTGGAGGACATTGTGCTAAGTCAAACAAGCCAGTCAAATATAGACAGACACCATTTAATGAAGTAGTTGGAGTAATAAACTCATGACAACAGAACATAGAAAAGTGGTTGTCTGGATTTAGGAAAAGGAGGAAACTAGAAATTAGCCAACAGATATGGAGTTTTCATCATATGAGATGTCATTAGACAATGTATATATAGTGAACAATATTGTATACTTAAATTCTGTGAGAGTAAAGTTACATTATATTTGTTGGTTGCAATAAAACAGAAACTAATGTAAATTAAGGGGAGTGAAATAAATTATGAAAAAAAGAAAATGTCAAATAAGACTATAAGCTATTGCTGCTACTGATGCATAATATACTGCTATTATTGGTCTTTTTACATAAACATAAATATATATACAAATATATTATTTGAATTCTTGGGAACTTTAGCTGTGCTCTAAACTTTGGAAAAAGTATCCCAGTTAAGTTGACATTGTCCAGAAATTAAGAGCCATATTGGCCTAAACTTTAAATTTTTCACTTGTACAGGGATAAATGCATGTATTAAATATGTCAGGTCTTATCTGTGTGGGTTTGATTATAGAAACTAATAAAACATTCTTTAAATAATGAAAAAGTTAAGATTATTTGACATTATTATGGCAATTCTGAAGAGTAAGAGATACTGAAGTGATGAGACGAAATGTGGTGCTACTAAAAAGAATATCTGAACAATCAAAGAAGAGTTCTTAGAAATAAAAAAACTGCGATGGTAAAATCTGAAGAGTAAGAAGAATGGTATTTTCTTAAAATTTTCTTAAAAATGGGAAAAAATGAAAAATATAAAAAGAAAATAAGAAAAGGAGAAGGAGGAAGTAGAGAAGAAGGAGGAGGAAAGAGAAAAATGGGAGGACAATGTAAGAACCAAGTAAATGTAATTCCAAAAACAAAATTTAAGGCTGGAAGAAATCATCAAAGAAAAAATAGACTAATATAGGCACACATTGTGACATTTCAAAACTCTGGCAGCCAAAAGATCCTACAAAAGTAGGAAGGGAACTTATTTTCAAATTTAATAGCATTGAATCACTTCTGACTTCTCAAAAGTAAAATCTAAGCTAAAAGAACAAAGCCTTTGACATTCTAATAGAATGATTTTCAACTTAGAAATCTGTGTTTAGACAAAACATCAATGAAATGTGACATGATATTAAAAACGTTTTTAGACTGTAAGTCTTTACAAATCTTTTCTTGGGAAGCTATTAGAGGGTATGTCTCACCAAGTTAGGTGAGAAAGCAAGAAAGAGAAAAGGGTGCGACAGATTGGGAAAAATCTTCAGTAGCTATAGAACACACAAGGACCTTATATCAAAAATATACATACAGCTCAAAAAATTAAACCCCCAACAAAAAAATCCTCAAAGAAACAACCTCCCCATTAATATGTAGGCTAAAGAATTAAGGAGTCCTCTAGAGAAGAAATAAGAAAATCCAATAGACACATGAAGAAATGTTCAACAACTCTGGCCATAAAAGAAATGCAAATCAAAACCACATTGAGATTCCACGTAACCCCAGTAAAAATGGCCATTATCAAGGAAACAAATTATATGTCGGTGCCCTGGATCTTGTATATACACTTGTCTAATTCGGGGAGGAGAGGGAAAAAACAAAATCCTTAAATAAGGATACAGGTTAAAAAAAAAAGGAAAGAAAACAAATAATAGTACATGCTGACAGGGATGTGGCCAAAACAGTGGGGATGTGTCCCCACTGTTAGTGGAGATGCAAACTGGTTCAACCACTCTGGAAAGTAGTATGGAAGTTTCTCAAAAGACTAAACATATAACTTCCCTAGGATCCAGCAATTCCACTCCCGGGCATTTACCCAAATGGTCACAAGCAAGGCCACACTAAAGCTACCAGCACAACTATGTTCATTGCAGTATTATTTACCATAGATAAGATATGGAACCAACCCAAATGACCCTCAGTAGATGAATGGATTAAGAAAATGTGGTATATATACGCAATGAAATTCTATGCTTCCATCAGAAACAATGGCATCGCCCCATTTGTAAGGAAATGGAAAGACTTGGAAAAAAATCATATTAAGTGAAGTAAGCCAGGCCCAAAGAAACATAGGCTCCATGATTTCTGTCATTTATAATAATTAGTATATGTCTAAGATCCTAGCAGAGGATCACAAGAGCTCAGTAGCTCAATAGGTACGTGCATATGACCATAAAAATGATGCTAATCAAAATGAGCTCCAAGATATGAAAACAAAGTTTTTTAGTTGTTGTTGACCTTGTTGTTGTCAATGTACTGTATCAAGTTCTTTCTTATTTTTTTTCTTTTTCCCTTTTGTTTATCCCCGGTAGTCACTGTTTTTTATTCTGGTACCCTGCGTCTTGTATATATGATTATCTGATTTGGGGAAAAAAAAGGGAATAACAAAATGGTGAAACAAGGACAAAGGGTGAACCAATACAACAGTAAAACTCACAAGAAACTATGTTGGAAATGAACTTTACAACTTGGAGGTGGGGAGAGGGATAGTGGGGAAAAAAATGAAGGAATGTGTAACAATATAAGATAAGAAATGTACTCATTACTTTACTTATGTAACTGTAACCCCTCTGTATAGCATACTTACAACAAAATAAAATAAAATTTTAAAAATGTAAAAAAAAGTGTGGGAAACAGAAATAAAAGATAGAGGAAGGCACCCACAAAGGATCTACCTTTACCCTCGTAGGACAGCCAGTCCACACTGGAGGAGTGTAGTAAGTCAGGAAGTAGGTTCTTTGTGAAACTGATGGATGGTCTGAAGGATCAAACATTTTGAAAGGAGATTTAGACAACTGGAAGAGAGTTTAGGGTTTGAATTAATTATAAGTCCATAGACAACTAAGCACATATTAAAGAAGACAATATTCAAAATGCAATCAAGGAAAGAAAAGTAGTCATGATAAATTGAAACAGTTAGCTGTGAATATCTTACCCATTTACTGTTGTAAACATTGATTATTACCTAAACAAAGTACCTATATAATTATATATATATATATATATATATTTATATACATGTGTGTACATATGTTTGTACACATGCTGGTTCTCATGCCTGTAATCCTGGCTACTTAGGAGGCTGAGATCTGAGGATTATGGTTCAAAGACAGCCTGGAAAGGAAAGTCCTTGAGACTCTTATCTCCCATTAACCACTAAATAGCGAGAAATAGAAGTGTGGCTCCAGTAGTAGAGCACTAGCTTTAAGCAAAAAAAGCTCAGGGACATCCAGGCCATGAATTCAAGCCCCAAGACCAGAACACATGCCCATAAAAAAGTAGCTAGCCCATAAAAAGTAGCTAAAGCAACAAGGACCAGAGATGTGATTTATGGATAGAGGGCAAGCCTAGCAAGCACAAGGCTCTGAGTTCAAACCCCCAGTCAGGAACTCCCTGCAAGTACGCATACAAAGAGGATTCTACCACCACCATATTTGAATCTCATAGCTTTTCCTTATTAATTCCAAGGAGCTAGTGTCTACAAATCAATTCATACATTAAAATGGTTTAGTAAGAATAAGAGGGTTATTATTTCTATGTGTGTGCTAGTAATAGAGCTTGAACTCAGGATCTTGCACTTTATCACAGCTGGCACTCTACCACTTGAGCCATGCTTCCAGTGGTTGGAAATAGAATCTTGAAGACATTTCTAGCTTCAAATGGTGATGCTCAGTATAGCTAGGATTATAGGCATGGGCCACTGACACCTAGCTAAGAAGATAAATATTTAATAAAAAATAAACTGTCTTCAAAATAAGAAATTAATTGTTCTGATGTTCCTATGTGTTATCCCATATTGTGGGCAATAACTAACCCATTCTTGAATTTTAGCTCAGATATGCAAATGTCCATGCAGAAGCATAGTGCTGGGAAAGAGGGATCGATTATGTGGGTCCTGGAATGCTTACTATGGGCAAGGGTTGGATTAATTGTTCAGCCAAAGTAGGTCTACAGCATAAATTACTCCTAGGGTAATATATTCCCAGACTAAGAATACAAATACAAGATGGTTTCTTAATAATCTGAAAAACACAAAAGTGACTCCCTTACCCCAATAAAAAAAAGCCAAAAGGATATGACCAACCCAATAAAATCAGCATAAAAATAATTTCCAAAGGCTGTTTTCCTGCTCTTCAGGTTTATGCAAGGGCAGTCCACTGACAGCTGCCTAACATGGGTGTTTTGGAAACCCTGAATATGTACAATCACCAGTATTCTAATTATGAATGAAGCTAAAGAAGATGCAAAATTTGTCCCTTTCATGAGTCATGTTTGTGCCAACACTCCAAGTATCTCTATTTTATGAAGACAAGAGTTTGTACTAGAGATATGCTGATTGGTCTTTCTATGCATCTGAATATATAACCATATATACAGCAAAGAACACATGCAAGCTATAGAATCTAAGGATTCAAGAAACAAGGCACAATGCTATACTGTCTCCTCTGACTAGCAGCAATTAAAAATTCACAGCTGCTGGCTGCCCAGATGTTTCTTGCATTTACTGCTCTGTAATATGCATCAGAATATATTGTGGAACCACAGTTGCAATAAACTAGACAGTTCTCTATTCTAAATTCTGCAGACTTAGATTCAGTGTGCATATTTTATCTTCCGATTAGCTTCCTTCCCCTCCTCCTTCATTTGCTTGGGATCTTTGCAGTTCAGAAACAAAAGACATTTACAACCCAGAGTTGAGCTGTATTGGGGTATAAGTGCAGGTCAGGCCTGATTTATGTGGCACTTCTGATAAGCAGGAAGGAGAGCAGGACATGGGGTTTGGGAAAGCTGGTGAACTTGGCTTGACTTATGTCTTTTGCTTTTGCAGGCAGCCAATATCCCTCTGGTGTCTGAGCTGGCCATTGATGACATCCATTTTGATGACTTTTCCCTAGACGTTGATGCCATGATCACAGCTGCTCTCCGGATGTTCATGGAGTTGGGGATGGTACAGAAATTTAAAATCGACTATGAGGTAAAGTCTGTTCTATGTTGAGAGACCCAAAGATTATACTTGAGACAGCAAGTTCCCCTCTTTGAACTGTAGGCTTCCCTCTAAAAATGAGGGTGAGGATTCCTGATCTGCAACCCTCCTGGGAACACTGAGATTCAGATGGGTGTTTATAGAAGGTGGTAAGGTCTGGCTTTGACAGTGGTCCTCTGGAGTCACATACAACTGCCTGATATAACTTCTTTCTCCTAATGCCAGACACTGTGTAGGTGGCTTTTGACAGTGAGGAAAAACTATCGGATGGTTCTGTACCACAACTGGAGACATGCCTTCAACGTGTGCCAACTGATGTTTGCCATGCTAACCGTAAGTGTGTGCAGTGGGGTAGAAGGTCACCTCCTGTAGTGTGTGGAATCATAGGCCGTCTCTTTCTATTTCTCAGAAAAAAAATTGCCATGTGGGCTGGGAAGGTGGCTCAGTGGTAGAGCGCTTGCCTTGCATGCCTGAGGCCCTGGGTTCGATTCCTCAGCACCACATAAGCAAAAAGAGAAAAGCCAGAAGTGGCGTTGTAGCTCAAGTGGTAGAGCACTAGCCTTGAGCTGAAGAGCTGAGGGACAGCGTCCAGGCCCAGAGTTCAGGCCCCACGACTGGACCAAAAAAAAAAAAAAATTGCCATGTGATTACTTCACAGCAGACTTTACCTGCGCTGGTTATGGGAGTAGTTATTTGACCACAGTTACCAACTATGAGCTCTAAAGGTGTATGTAGCCTTGGAATGAGGACTCAACCCTCTTCTCCATGTTCTTTCCTGGTAAACTAGGTCTTTTACAAGAGATGTTTAGGTTTTCAAAGTGTTATCTTGACAGAGGAAACAGAAACACATAACAGGACAAAGAAATCCCTGGATCAGACTCTGGGGAGACAGGAAAGCCACACTAGGGAGGTAGGAGCATTGCCCACAGGAACATGGAAATCCTAAGAGAACACCTCCAGAGCCTACAAGGAAAACAGGGGTAAATGTTCAAGGCTTATCACTCATTAAGCTTAAACCACCTTTCTTTTGGCTTCCAATTCAGTCTGCTTTATGAAGATAGCCAAGGCCGTAGGCCAGAGGTAAGTCTTGAAACAAACTCAGCAAATGTTTGTGGCAAAGGTTGAAACAAACTCTTCTACTTACCCCCATTTTCTGGCAATGATAATAATAATAATAATGTTTATTTTGGCTTTAATTCTACTTATACTTTCATTAAGCTATCATCAAGCAAAATGTTTTCTGGCTTAAATATGGTTTTATTGGACTCAGTAATATATACATACATAGATATAGTTGTGTAAACATATTTACCATGTAAAAGAAAGATCATGAGTCTTCAACTCTTACAATAGAAATATAAAGACCCTGTATCTTTGCACTGACATTAAGATTAAGACAAAAATCAGGTCTCTTTGTGAAATGTATTTTCTTTTTTTTTTTTTTTTTGGTCGGTTGTGGGGCTTGAACTCTGGGCCTGGGGGCTGTCCCTCAGCTCTTCAGCTCAAGGCGAGCGCTCTACCACTTGAGCTACAGCGCCACTTCCAGTTTTCTGGTGGTTTATTGAGAATAGGAGTCTCACGGTCTCTCCTGCCCCGGCTGACTTTGAACCGCGATCCTCAGATCTCAGCCTCCTGAGTAGCTATGATTACAGGCGTGAGCCACCAGCACCCGGTTAATGTATTTTCTTTTGATGAAAATGAATATAGATCATTGGGTTGCTTCTCCATGAACCTCCCAACCTCAGCGTTTGCCTGTTAAAGTTTTGCTTATTGTTTAAAGCATTGATCAGATATTCTTTTTTTAATTAATAAGTTTTTAATTGTGAAAATACCATACAGAGGGGTTACAATTATACGAGCAAGGTAATGAGTACATTTCTTATCAAGCATTGTTGCCTCCTCCTTTGTTTCCCCTTACCATCCCTGCCCTCCCATCTACGCCAACCCTGCCCCCCCCGCAAAGTTGTAAAGTTCATTTTTCGACATAGCATCTTGTACTCACACCAACACTTGAGTCCTTATCTTGAGGTTCATTTTGCCTAACATCAACTTATCTGACCTTTTCTGCTTGTCCCAGACATATACTAGTTATTGCAAATAAGGGAAACCGTGGGACCTATGTTTCTTTGGGCCTGGCTTACTTCACTTAATATAATTTTTTCCAAGTCTTTCCATTTCCTTACAAATGGGGCAATGTAATTCTTTCTGATGGAGGCATAGAATTCCATTGTGTATGCCACATTTTCTTGATCCATTCATCTACTGAGGGGCATCTGGGTTGGTTCCAGATCTTAGCTATGGTAAATAACGCTGCAATAAACATAGTTGTGCTGGTAGCTTTAGTATGCTCTTGTTTGTGATCATTTGGTAAATGCCCCAAAGTGGAATTGCTGGGTCATAAGGGAGCTCTATTTGGAGTCTTTTGAGAAACCTCCATACTACTTTCCAAAGTAGTGGAACAAGTTTACACTCCCACCAACAATGCAGTAAGGTTCCCTTCTGTCCACATCCCCTCCAACATCTGTTGTTATTAAAGTTCTTGATTATAGCCATTCTAACTGGGGTGAGGTGGTATCTCAATGTTGTTTTGATTTGCATTTCTCTTATGGCTAGAGAGGTTGAGCATTTCTTCATGTGTCTATTGGCCAGATATTCTAGTTTTTTTCTTTGCTCCAAAACATCTAGAATTACTTCTTTCTCCACACTGAATCTGTTACAACACAGACCTTTCTACTGGGTGTTTTAAGTTACCATTTTCTTGTTCTCTAATAGCATAAGCTTATGGCGCAGAAATCATTTCTTACTCTTTCAATAACACTCTATGCTGAACATCTATTTATTTATTTATTTCCTTCCTTCCTTCTGCCCATCCTTCCTGTCTGTCTGCCTTTCGGTGATGATAAACTTGAACTCAAAGCCTGGATGCTGTCCCTGAGCTTTTTTAATAAAGGCTAATACTCTACCACAGCTCCAATTCTAGCTTTTTAGTGGTTAGTTGGAAATAAAAAGCTTCACAGACTTTCCTGACTGAGCTGGCTTCAAACTACAATCCTCAGATCTCCTGATTTGCTAAGATTAGAAATATAAACCAGGGCTGGGAAGGTGGCTCAGTGATAGAGTGCTTGCCTTGCATGCATGAGGCCCTGGGTTCGATTCCTCAGCACCACATAAGAAAAAAGCAAAAAAAAAAAAAAAAGAAAAGAAACATAAACCACTGGTGCCCATCTCAATACTTATTTCTTTTTAAAATATTTGCTCAATAGCTATGTACATATGTCCATATAAGCTGATGCTAAGTGAAATGAATTCCAAGACACAGACACGAGGTTTTTCTTTGTTGTTCTTGTTTTTAATGTACTATGTGATTTCTTTTTTCTTTTGTGTTTTTTCCACCTGTGGCTCATCCCCTGTTGTCACTGTGTTTGATTTTGGTACCCTGGGTATCATATATATATATCTGAAATAGAGAAGGAAAGGGGAACAACAAAATGGTGAGACAAAGGACAAAAGGGGGAACCAAGACAGTATTTTGAAAATAATCTGTAAAACTTTGGGGGGGGGTTGTGGGGGAAGGAAAGAGGGAGAAAAATGAGAGAAGGGGTAACAAGTTAGACAAGGAATGTACTCATTACATTACTTATGTAACTGTGTTTTCTTTGTATATCACCTTGACAAAATTTTTGTACACTTTTTATTGTAAAAATGCTGTACTGAGGGGTTATAGTTACATGAGCAAGGTAATGAGTACATTTCCTATTGAGCATTGTTGCCTCCTCCTTTGTTTTGGCAATAAAATTTTAAAATTATATATTTATTATCTTTAAGTAGCTGTACAAAGGGGTTATAACTCAACATGTTAACTTATGAGTACAAACATGTTGATCACTATCTCCCCTTTCATCATTCTTGCCAATTCCTCTCAACCCTACCCATTCCTACAATTCCCTCACCAACTCCTTCAATTCTCTCTCCCTCCCTCATTTCCTCTATTCACCTATTTCTTAAGGACCCTACTAGTACCTTGCACTTGATCGTACACTTGGTTGGTTTTCAACACATATACAATGGCTTGGAATCAAGAGCACAGTGAAATAAGGACGGGAACAAAATGTCTTCATTTTTTTTCTGCAGGTCTTGTGGTTTGGTTCTTCTTCTGTTTAAGGAACAGTGGGACTGGCCAGAAAACTGAACTGTCCCTGGCCCTTTGTTGTGAATAGCATCAAATAGTAACCAGTCAGATGAGGAAAGAGAATGCTTTGAACTTTGAGACTTAAATTGCTTAAGGGCAAATGTTGTTTGAAAACAAAAATGCCTCCATTTTGCATTTTTCTTTATCAGATCTCAACAGACAAGAAACAATTCATGAGTCTGGCTCACAGACAACCATACCTTATTAGCTTGATTGCCTTGGTTTGTGGACTTGGCAAAATAAGAAAGCAAAAGCCTTATTGAACAACAGAAGGAGGAAAGGCCATAGTTCTGTGAGGCAGAGTTGTCAAGAGCAGAGACATGGTTTTATAATGGGTCTCTAATACCTGAGGTGCAGGGATCTAGCAAGTGTGGTGGGTTCATGGTTAACCCTTTGGAACAAAAGAAAACAAGCACTCAGTTTTCATCTTTGAATATTCTTATGGTATAGACACTTTACGAGAAACTGAAGAAAACAGAACTTTGAACTTGTGCCAGCACAGAGGAGTATTTAAACCATCAGAATACTCCAAGTATGTTGTTATTTTTGTGTCTGCTCAGTAAATTTGAGTGTCATTGTTAGAAAGGGTTTGACTGCATGGCAAAGGACATAGCTAGCAAGATAAATAGAAAGCCCACATAGTGGAAGAAGATCTCAACTAGCTGTACAACAGACAAAGGGCTCATATATAAAATATATTTAGAGCTCAAAAAATCAAACCCCCAAAAAACAAATCCTCAAAGAAACAACCTCCCCATTAATATGTGGGCTTAAGAATTAAAAAGAGTCTTCTCTGGAAAGAATGGCCAATAGATACACGAAGAAAAATGTTTAACAACTCTGGCCATAAAAGAAATGCAAATCAAAACCACATTGAGATTTTACCTCACCCCAGTTAAAATGGCCATTAACAAGAAAACAAATAATAACAAATGCTGGTGAGAATGTGGCCAAAAGGGAACACTACTACACTGTTGGTGGGAATGTAAACTTGTTCAACCACTCTGGAAAGCAGTATGGCGGTTCCTTAAAAGACTAGACATAGAGCTCTTCTATGATCCAGCAATTCCACTCTTGGGCATTTACTCAAATGATCATGAACAAGGCCACACTAAAGCTACCAGCACAACTATGTTCATTGCAG